AAGCCTCCTTCGTAGGAGGCCGAAAACTCGTAAATACCGCCCGTACACGGGTGGGGGCGGGGGGGCGGGCCGGTGTTTGTTTTTTGGGGCCGAGTTGGGTGTGGGTGGGGCTGGGCGGGGGGGGCGGGGCGTGGCGTTCCTTACTCGGCTGCTACAGGCGGACGGAAAATGGGCCCCAGAGCGCGCCAGGGTCGCCAGATAAGCGTGCTGTATAAGCGTGGTTGTAAACGGTCCAGACATCGTGTTGTGGTCGCCGTGTGGGCGCAATGATCGCCATGATCGCCGAGTCACGGCGTTTGTTTTGAGCATGTTCAAAACAAACGCCAATGGTTCGGCCGATCTGAACCGTGGAACGCGGTTAGAGAACGCTGTGGTTTCGCGTTTGTCGCGGCGACCTGTAACATTTTCTGGTCGCCGTACGGTGCGGTATAGGTCGCGGATGGTCGCCCCGCTCTGGTCGTGAGCGGGTGGTATTAGCGTACGTTTCCAATCATTCACGCGTTGAGTAAGAAATTAGAGTGATATAACTCAAAATAGCATGCATTAACATAACTGGACTATTGGAGATAACATGCATTAAAAATGTTCTCCAAGTTCTTATATATGCTTTCTGTTACAGTCCTTTGCCAAATTCAAGAACACTTCTCATAATGAAATGGAGATCATGTGATATTATACGTGATATACACCGTGAATATTCACTAACATCGAAATGGCTATACAGTACACAATGTATTATCCGAAACCCTTGGTACCCCAGACACGTTTCGGAAACTCAGTTTTTCAGATTTCGGAATGGTAGTACAGTATAGATATACATATCGTATATCCTGCAACTAGCAGTACTAAAACCCAAGTTTTCAAGAGGCCCAAGTGCTGAACCGGTACAGTCCAATATGTATGAGTAATGCCAACACACATTAATATTGTCAGGTTGAGCTAATTTGGCTCCAAACGCGAGCTTTGGTGTGCAGACGACCTCCATGGGAAAACTTTCGGTTTTCTGAATTTCGGATAATAGATTGTGTACTGTATAGCGTATCTGAGAAAAATGTAGTCTAGTGTTATATCAAGAATACATTAACAGGGTGCGAAATTAATTGCGGAGTCCGGAGTCAAATACTCCCTGATTTGACATATGCAGGAGTCCGTATGACTCCCTGAAAATTCTGCCATACTAACTAGTTTGTTCCAGAGCACGGCCTCGCAGAATTACTGTACGTTTGTCAGCAAATGTCCAAAGAAAATTTGGCAGACATGCAAAATTGCAACTGCATGAATCTTCAAAATATGCACATGCGTTATTGTTAATATCTTTAATTTTGAACTTCAGACTGCGGGCTCCGTCATTTTGCTGCAGATTCCCTCTTTTTGAGGGTAGGGAAGATTTTTTTAGTTGGACTTCCGTGTTTAAAAGTTAATATCTACCCCTGCATTAATAGGAAAATAGAGAGTAGGGAATCTCTATGTTTGTATGAATACATAAGCTTTTGTGGTTATATTATGCTATCAGTTCTGTTTAACGTTATACTACTATATATGATATGTTATACAGGCAAATTATTTTTTTACTTTGTCTTTGATACAATATCCAACATTATATAGACTTTATATTTCTAACATTATGTAGATTATTGTATTATATATCACACTGCACACACGCGAGCACAGCCAGGGTAAAAAATACACAGGAGCGATGAGCGATATTTGCTCTTGAAACCTCTGAAATCGCTCCCGCAAAACAAATTACGAGAGCGACAAAAAAAAAGAAAATTGGGAAAAATCTCTCTCGTACCTGGGGTAGGATGGTGGATGTGCGAGCTGAAAAATGCGAGCAGTGAGCTGCGAGCTGAAAAAAAGAGCGTCCAAGCGAACAATGCGAATGAAGCAATTTGTGCAGACATCTGATCATTGTATTCAGTTTACCTCAGGCTCAGACTTTACTGTTCAATGTCCAAGAAAGGGCATTTTTTGGCACTGTTGCACTTTGTGTAAATAGTTCTACAGTGCTGCAGTGCTGTTTAATGTTGAGCTGTTAATGTTTATGACTTATAGATTGTTAAATGACGAGCTTTAATATTTATTGAGATGCTTGCAGGACTTGCCCTCCCCTGAAAAAAGGGATTTTTTTTCCTGGAGCGCAAACACGCCCATGCACGCACATGCATGAACGCACGCACGCACGCACGCACGCGCACACAGGCACGCACATACGCATGTACACGCATACACACACATGCATACAGGTACGTGCGTCCAAATTTATATGTCAATATTGACTAGGAGCGTAGTTAAATACATTTCGCCTTGGGGGACGGGAATTCAAGCCATGCACGGTTTGTGTTCTGGGCAGTAAACAGTGAGAAGCTCGCCATTGGCCATGTGATGTAATCTTGCATGTGATCCTTACGATCTTGAATATCTATATGTCACACCTGGCAGAGTTTCCGCCAGGATGGTAAAAGGGTAAAATTCCATATACCCAATACCCAAAAATATTTCTAGGGTACGTATGGATCCATACCTAAAATTACAAGTATAAAATTACTTGTTTATGTATGTAAGCAATATTTGGAGTGAAAATGAATATTTATAAAAAGAAAATGCACATTTCTTGGCATAATTTAATTGGCATAATAATAACAAGAAAGTCATTGGTTCAAACATAATAGTCACTAGGTTAATGCACTACAGTTTGTATCGACGTGGGGGTGACCTTGGCGGTGGTTCAGTTTGCCATTGAACCATTTATTCTCAATTTAATCAACACCCCTCATTTTGGTCCTTACCAGGGTCTCCAACCATTCCTCATTCTGCGGAATCATTACGATTTCTAGGCTTAATTTCCGCATTCTGCAGCGGCAAGGTTATAATATATTCCTCATTTCAGTTGCACTGTACAAAATTTGCACTGATTGTTTGCATTGTTCGCTTGGACACATTGTTTTTTTTCATGCATTTTGTATCTGGCATGTCTATGGTAAATGGAACAGCCTAGTCAGACAGGCGCTGTCTGCAAGGTGTTGCATAGTTTGTCTGCTAATCAGACAAGGCTTGCAGGGTTGAGTCTAGGGTTCAAATAGTGTTATCAGACATGAGAATATGGCCCACAGTATATGTCTCAGATTGCACGAAAATGGCAAAAATATTTCAAAATGTTCTGTGGGGGCATGCCCCCAGACCTCCTAGCACTGCCATGCCTATGGCACGCGGGTCTGCCAGCGGCAACCAAGGTACATTTCGCCCCCCCCCCCCTGTCCATCAATTTCTGAATACGCCACTAGTTTCTGATCACCGCGAGAACATTCCGCATTTGGAGTTCACAGGGTTGGAAACCCTGCCTTACTCAAAAAATATTTTCTGGCGGAAACCCTGCCTGGTGATATAAGTTAACCAGCGTAACCATAAGGCTGATAGGATCTACCCTGGGTATGGTCCGGTATACCGGAACGTACCCTGGTACTAAATACTACTGTCTAATATGCCGGACCGTACCTCGCCTACTCCACTAACTCATCTAGGGAGTCGCTTACGCCTACTCCCTAACTCTAACCCTAACCCTAACCCTAACACTAACCCTAACCATATTAGCTAGGTAGTTACCAGGGTACTTTCCGGCAGTACCCTGGGGGACATAGACCCTATGGCTCATCAGCTACAGCAAGGCTCGACACTAGCGGTGGCCCGGTGGCCCGGGGCCACCAAAACTTGATGTCGGGCCACCAAAATTTCCAAAAGTTAAAATTTGGTGGCCCGAACGGGCCACTAAAATTTCAAAGTGTCTATGTGATAAAAATAATTGTTTCTTACGTGCTAATCTCATTCAAAAGAGAGCGAGCAATTCGCGGAGCGAGGGCACACGTACGCACGTGCAGCATTCTACCGTGGGCATACACGGGCGCACGGTTTATCCGTCTACTGCGGCTGCAACAAGCCACGTTATTGTGTTAGACTGGTATCCGGCCTCACGCACTGCTAGACAATGTACACGCTCTGCGACGAACAGTTCGGCCGCGAACCAGTCTAGCCAGGGGTCAAAATCTGAGCGGGCGCACGCCGCACGCCATAGCATATTTTGCAAGCGCCAGCATACATGTGATTACATTGTA